TTGCTTAACCAACTGAGCCACCCAGGCGCCCACTCCTCTCCTGTTCTTGTTCTTCCTTGTGCGTGGCAGTGCCCTGGGCAGGGAATACACGCACACACACGTACATATATACTCACGCACAGAACTGCTATTTACAATAACCGTGTAGAGAAAAAGACAGGATACACCCTGGCCAAATCCATTTCTTGGCTGGCGGTTAAAATGCAGATGATCCAGTCTATAATTCCATTTTAGTTTTGATTTGCTACCACTGAACGCAATGATGTAAGTAAGACGTACATAAATTCAGATCCAACTCTCATCGTACGACCCACCAACCGTGTGGCCACACGGTTTGCAAGGGGGTGCCCCTCGTCAGAGGTTCCAGTGAGGCGGCTTGGCTCCAGGGTGATGTCCCAGCTGCAAGCAGAGGGGCTGTGTGGAGGCTGCTGCTGGAGCTGGCCTCCGGTCTGCCCACATTGAATTGGTGATGCTTTGCCACGCCGTGGCCTCTGCTGTGGAAGGCAGGAGTGGGCAGTGGATTTGGACCAGGAGTCGTGGTGGGGCGTTGCCAGGTGACGCCTCGGACCCGGGTGCCGAGCTGCATGCGGGGACCTCAGTTCATGCCTTGCACTGAGGACCCTCGGCTCCGGGAAGGGCAGGGCTCGGGGAGAGCTCCCCCCATCCCGCCTCTGCTCTCCATGTTGTGACCCTTGAGTCAGACTCCTCGAAAAACTGGCCCTGCTAATTGGCTGGATGACTTGGCAGGTGACCCGGTGCCTCTGACCTCTGTTTGCCTGGCTTTGGGAGGTGGCGAGGCGTCCAGCCCCTCAGTAGGTTGTCCTGAAATGCCGAGCATTTGTTGCTGGCCCCCCGCCCCAGGATTGGCCGAAACGGAACTAGACCCTCGTAGATCTGTGGCCTCTGATTTTTTTCCCTCTATTATTTTACTCATAAGTCTGCACCTTTGGAAGACAGAACCAGAGAGCTAAGCACATGGACTGCAGACCCTTGCAGGCTGGGTTCGAGTCCAGCGAGCAGCCATGCCCAAGTGACTGGCTCAGTTTCTCCAAATCCTACTTGTAAAATGGTGGTAAGAACACCACCCCTCTGAGGTCTGCTGAGCAGGAAGTAGAATTGTGTTCCTGGAGTGCTTAGTCCCTGGCACACGTCCCAGGAAGCTCACCCTTGTTCTTCGCCTCCCTTCTCCTCTGTCCTTTGGCCTCATGTTGACTGCGTGGAAGCCACGTGGGGCTCCAGCAGAGCCTGGCCTGCCCCCCTCCTGCCCCGTCCTCCCCGTCCATCTGGCTGAGTGTCCTTCTCGTTGAGCTCCTCCTGCCCCGCACGTGATTCTTACCGAGGTAAACCTGTGGTTAGCGTTTCCAAGCTGGGGGCCAGCAGAGGTTTGGGGTGCTGGGACGTGCTCTCCCCAGAGGGGCCACTGTTCCAATCTGTTTGCTTGGCTAATCCCTCCTGATGTCCAGGGACGGGATACCCTGGAAAAACCAATACAAGCAAAGCCCCAGCGCCCATGGCCTGCTTTGCTTGGTACCCAGACAGACAGGACTCTCCCACCCCTGGAGGGTGGTGCTGGGCAGGGTGCAGCAGTGGACAGGAGAGCTTGCTGATGGCAGGCTGCTGAGAAGGAGTGCGTCTGGTCTTTATTCAGGTGTTACCTCCTGAGATGGGCCTGGCGAGGAGGTCCCTGTGCGTAGCTCCATCTGGCCACAGAGACAGAGCGTAGGTTCTGTGCATCACTTCAGGGATGTTTACGGAGGTTTCCCCGTGGGCCCGAATTTGCCTTCTGGCCTCCAGGAGCTCAGTCAGCACGGCCTGGCAGTTCCAGCTGGGCCTGGTGGTCCTCACTGACGTCAGACCATGAAGATGTGACCTCTCACTCTGTCCTCCCGCTGACCCCCGCTGCTGCCCCGGAGCGCTCAGTTCCAGTCTGCAGGAAGGCAGTGTCTGTCCCAGTACTGAGCACAGCGCTCTGTAGGGTCAGAACTGACCCTTTGTCTCCTGCGTGGGTGAGGCCAGGGGGGCAAAAGGAGTGATGTCTAGAGCCAAGTCTGGTTGCTGCTGACCGGAACCTGCCTGGAGCCTGTGTGGAGGGGTTTGCTGACACTTAATCCGGGGGAAGGGTTTGGGACTGGTTGGCGGGAGGCTGCCCGGCCTGGGTGTGCGGGGCCGGGGCCCGGAGGGGCAGGTTTCCGTCTCACTTCTTGATGGTTGTCTTCTACATACAGTCACGGCATTCTGGGGTACAAAGGATCCTAATGGAATAGCTGGTTAGTTAGTCTCAGGCTGCTTTAGAAATTTCCAATTTTTTGGGGGGGGGGCTGTTATTTAAGAAGGTTTGATTGTGTTCAGATCCAGTCCCTGTCCTGGTTTCTTTGTTCTTTTTCTAAGCAGCTGCTTTTCAGCTTCCTGTCTCCCGTGTTTCAGGAGTCACTCCTTGGGGAGAAAAGGCACTGGTGCATTCATTCATTCCTCCGTCCACCCACCCGCCCATTCACACACCCATGCACACATCTACCTACCCAGCCACCCACCCATCTACCTACCCACCTGCCCAGCCACGCATCCATCTACCTCCCTACCCACCCAAGCCACACATCCATCTACCTATCCACCCACCCATCTACCTGTCCACCCACTCAGCCACACATCCATCTACCTAGCCACCCACCCATCTACCTACCCACCCGCCCAGCCAGCATCCATCTACCTCCCTACCCATCCCACCTAGCCACCTACCCATCTACCTATCCACCCACTCAACCATGCATCCATCTACCCACCCGCCCAGCCACGCATCCATCTACCCACCCACCTACCCAGCCACCTACCCATCTACCTATCCACCCACCCAGCCACACATCCATCTACCCACCTACCCAGCCACCCACCCAGCCACCCACCCCATCTGCCTATCCACCCACTCAGCCATGCATCCATCTACCCACCCACCCAGCCACCCGTTCATCTACCCACTCACCCATCTACCTATCTACCCACTCAGCCACACAACCATCTATCCACCCGCCCAGCCATGCATCCATCTACCCACCCAGCTACCCAGCCACCCACCCATCTACCTATCTACCCACTCAGCCACGCATCCATCTACCCACCCGCCCAGCCATTAAGCACTTAATTTACCATGCATTTTTGAAGCACTCACTAGGCTAGAGATAAAAGGGAGAGAAAGTCTTGCATGGCATTTGCCCTCCAAGGGGAGGCCCAGATTAGCTCCTGTGCCATCAATTATAGAAGAAAGGAGAGAGTGGAAACCCTAGAACTTTCCCAGAAGCTGCCCGGCTCTGACCCACCTCTCAGCCATGACACTGGAGGTATTCCTCTGTGAGTTCGTTGTGCGGAGGATCTGACTCACTGAAAGCAAGGCTTGTGTTCTTAAGGGAAAGGCTAAGGCCCCCTCCTCGGGGATACCACTGTGGAGAGCTGGGCTGATTGCCTCATTCTTCCCGTGTACAGACCGGCCCGCGCCCCGGCCCTTGGGCATCTCCTTGGGCCTTTCTGCTGGGGGAGAGTGGGCCGGGCAGGGCAGGTGCAGAGGGAGCTGGTGTTTGGGGGCCCATGAAGCTTCAGAAGGTGTTTACTTAACCGGGTTCTCTGCTCCCTGGCGAGACCCTGGGCAGAGGCCTTGGGGCAGTGGGCAGGTGGACCCCTGGAGACCCTCGAGGGCTGCGGGAGCCCTGGGTGCTGCCAGCCACTGAAGGAGCGAGCCCCGCTCACCAGAGGAAGCCGGCCAGGTGCTTTCTTTCCAGAGCCTTCTCTCGTGTGGGTCCTGTTGGAGCAAGGTGTGGAGGTGGCCGGCCAGAGAGAGAGGGGCTTAGCAAAGCAGACTTTGCAAAGACTTGGGCCCCTTGAGCTTTCCTTTCTTTTTTTTTTATTTTTTATTTTTTTAATTTTTTTTATTTAT